GGGGGCGTGAAGCAAATGTCTAAAGGAAGACAGAGACTTTAAAAGTATTTGATCAAAGTCAACAGTCCGTAGGTCCAGAGAGCTGAGAGCACTTATGACTTATGTAGAAGAACTTTGGAAATGAGCAATCAACTGGTACATTTCAGAGATTTTCAGAAAGGTCAAGACAGAATAGAAGCACCCTTTGAAAGCCTCTTCGTAATAGACCTTGCATTAAAAAAAGGATTTGAGAGTGTAAACCTTCTGCTTTGATATAAAACATAAATAGAACCAGCCAGAGAAGAATTTCGCCTAAATATGCCATCCGTGCTCCTTCAGGAAATGGCACGCTGATGCTTGTCAGGCCGAGGAGGTTGGTGGAGTGTTTATTCTCCAAACACCCTGTGTGGCCAATTAGGAACACTACCGAGGGGGCCTTTGCAGAGACTCTTTTTCTTCTTTTTCTCCTGCCCCATTATGATGCTTTTTTTTTTTTCCCAGCATAAAAGCCCGGCATGCGTCAGGAACGCTGATGCAATGGGACGCTAAGATCGCGTTGCGTCATCTGACCCTAGGTGTGGTGCTCCCAAAACTGGTTTTTCCTGAGGTCCAGCAGGAGGAGTCAAGCACTTTGGGTATAACACCCGCGAACCGGCCCTACTTGTCAGAGGACAAAAGTGATTTCCCGAGTGCCAGCCTCAATTCCACGCGGTGCCCTCCCAGGGAAAGCCCGTGTGACTCCCGCTGGGGCCCAGGGTGTGCTGCAGACCGACATCGGTGAGGCGTGTCCTGCCGCCGCTGCTTATGTAACAAATGGTACCAAGCCAAGCGCACCTAGCTGGGAGTGACGTCTCCTCCTCCAAAATGGGCTTGGAATCTTACTTCACATTAATTGAGCAACTTCTCCAGGGACAGTATGGTTTGGTGCAAAACCTGGAAAGAAGCTAAAGCAGGGGACTGAGATTTCCAGGCTAGGGGCTGAGGGTTTCCCGCGCATCTGTGGAAATGTGGGGTCCCAAGAGCCAACCTGCTGCTGTTTGGCCTGTCTTCAGGAAGGGCATGTGTCGGGTTAGGGTCAGCTCCGCTCTGTGCGTCTAAGAAGAGTGGCCACGGAAAGCCACACCTTGTCGTCAGAAGATTAACTTTCTGCCCCATGTGTATGAAAAGGGCCGGGTGTGGTGGCGCACACCTGTGATCCCAGAGCTCTGGAGGCAGAGGCAGGAGGATGGAAAGTTCCAGAGCAGGCTAGTCAATATAGTGAGACCCTGTCTCCAGGAAAATAAAGAGGGCTGGGGGTGCAGCTCCGTGGAAGAGCACTCGCCTGGGTTCAGTCCCCAGCACCCAAGTACTGTAAAAAATAAAAATAAACTTGAAGTTCTTGGCCACAGGAATGACACTGATGAGTGGAAACTTGATCCTTATGATCTGTATGCAATTTGGGTTGGGATAGGGTCACACACCTTAGACCTGTGTGTACCTTCCTGGTGGACACAGCCGTGTGTAGCTATGGAGCACTTGAAAGGTGGCTGAGGGCACATGCTCCATTTCAAAA